ATCCCTAAGGATCGATGGAGGCAGGAATGGGGGCGCATGAGTGCTCTTGAGAATTGTGTGTTAAACACTCCAATATAATACAGATATTCCCCCACCCTCAAGCCCTAAAAGCTAACTTGAGGCCTTGGTAGCATTAATGTACGATCATAAGCTCAGCTTGTGTTAATTTAATGTGGGAAGATTAATTATTCTACAAGAAGTGAGGCTTGTTTGGAAGAAAAATCTCCCAAACTATAGGATCCTCAGGGGTGAAAATTATAAGAGGGGGCTCTGGGAATCATTCAGGTCCTTTCTAGCTATTTTACTAGTTTGGAAAACCAAGGGGGTTAGTTGGGGGCTGTGTTTATCAGAGAGCACCCTCCCTCCCCCTACCGAGTTCAGTGGGTTAGCCCAGTGGAGACAGGTCTGGTTTGGGTTCTGGGATATTTGGGTGAGAGAGATGGAGGAATATCCCCCCAACTCCCCCACCCCCCACCGCCCTCCTCCCCCACTTTTGTCTCAGGCTACCCTCCACTCTGGGATTATTGCAGGTGCCCCAGGGCCCCCACCCCTTCAGCCTGGCCTGGGGGTGCCCTTACAATGATTGTGCATAGAAAAAAGGCCAGGACTGCTGGGGAGAGGGCAGCGCCCACCTTGCTGTGATCAGGGAAGCGTGGATGAGGCCAGGCATTAGAGGACCAGCCCTCTCCCCATTGGGGAGTTTTCTGCTTCCAGGAACCAGGCCATTCCTGAAAGGGGCGTTCCTTTCCCACTTCCACAGTTTGCTGTTCTTCCTCCCCTTGCCTCCACTTGCAGCAGCGGAGGACCCAGGAATGTCCTAGCCCCACCCCAACCGGAATGGCATGTTACAGTCCCTTTGCCCCACCCCAGGCCCAGGGTCTTGCTGGGGAGAGGGGCTCAGCCACCATGCCCGCTGCTGCCCAGGTGGCTTGGCACTCATTCAGTCCCTTTCAGTGAGACCTCACAAAGCATATTAGTATAGAAATTTTTAGCTCCTCCCCCTGCAGGCCCTACCTCCAGCTTTATTTGGGAGGGAGACAGGTGCCAAAGGGTGACAGGGGCCAGAACGAGATGGGGGCAGTTGGGTCTTGGTTTTCAGTCCTTATCCTCTCCCTGGACTCTCCCTTCACACATCGCAGGTTCCTCCTAACCAGGGGCCCCAACACTGGAGAAGACCCCAGCCTCTAAATTGCCCCCTTCAGGCATGGAGGGGCCTCTAGCCCTTATCAGATGATGGTTTCCCAGGCAGGGACCCTGTGAAGGCCTAGGTCTCCCTCCCGTTTCCATTTCTCAGATGAAGGGGGAAGGGAGGACAGCTCTCAGGTGGTCAGTTGGTGGGGGTTTAAAAAAGTCTCAGAGGGAGTCAGGGCCTCTGTCTTTGACTTCCCCAGAGGGATTATCAGACTCTGCACGGCTTCCTAGAACCTTCTCAACATTTGGAACCAGAGATTTCACACTGGTGGCCCATGGGCCAAATCTGAGATTAGTTTGGCCAGCACAGGGTTTTCAAAAAATGCGAGCTTTAGGTCCTATTGGCAGGGACAGGCACTCCCCTGTTTTCCAGAGTCCCCACCACTCCCCCATAGTATAGCACTTGCTCTTCCCTCATTTTCTTTATTACCTGAAGTCATCTGAACTTGCAACCCATGCACCCCTGTCTGGGAAAACCTCCTCACTGCATACAGTTTCAGTGAACTCCAGGCCCAGGTGAGTTCCAAGGGAAGGACGTGGGACTTTAGCCCTGAGGAGGGCACTGGGTTGCCAGGTAAGAGCTTCCCTAGATACCTCCAGCCCCCTTGGCCCTCGCCAGGTCTCGCCCTCCCTGGCCTCTGCTTTCCCCAATTCTTAGGGTGACACGCCTCTGTGGGACTCAGCGTAGCAGGGAGCTGGCTGGGTAAGATGTGGGGGAGACACAAGGGTGGGACAGATGAGAGGAGGGGACCAAGAAAGCCTTCCTGTTGGGGAGCCCCTGCTGGGGAGGGGTGGAGTTCTGTGCTGTCCAGTCGGGATGACAGTTACAAGGCACATGGTTTATCAGTGCATGGAGGTGTGATGAGGGTATGCGGTGCCTGGGAGGTTTGGGGAGCACAGTCAACAAGCAGGGGGATCAGTTCAAGAAAATTGGGAGACAGAAGTCTCTACCCTGAAAATGGGGACAATGTCTCCTGCGGGTCGAGATACTGAGGGCGAATTTGGTACTCAGTGTCCTGTTCTCTTCCTGGCAAAATTAAGATGGACCCAACTACCTCTCAGCTCAGGAAAAGCCTAACTCTGCCACTGCACTTCTGTGTGATCTTGGGCAAGTCCCTGGCTCTCTCTGGGCCTCCGTTTTTCCTCTGTAATAGATGTGGAGGGCAGGTAGCTTAGGGGACCCCAAGGGTCCCTCTGGGCTGTGGTTCTGGAATATTCTCTCACTGCAAGGACCCTGTAGGGATTCTGGGAAGGACCAAGCCGCCAGGCTGGGGTGCAGGACAGAGAATGGGGAGCAGGAGGCAGGGACCCAGCGGGTCCAATTCTGGCAGGGAAGAGAGGGACTGGCTGAGGTAGACTGTGTCACAGGAAAAAAAACCACGAATGGGATGGTGCCCCTTCCCCACTCCTCTATCCCAGTGAAGCAAGAGGACTGACAGGGACCAGATGAAGTGGGGGATAGGCCAGTGGAGAGCATGACCTCAGGACAGGAAGGGATGGGGTCCTGAGCTCCTGGGCGTATGGGTGCGGGGGGAGGGGGGTGGTCCTTGGAGGCCTTGGAAGGTCCTTGGAAGCTCTTTCCTGAGGGTGAGCAGCAGGAGAAGGTGCCTGTGGCCTCTCTGAGGGCCCTTGACTGTGGCCATTTCCAGGGCTCGGTTGTCCTTGCAGGCAGAGGCTCTGAAGATGGGTTTTGTGGGAGAGAGATGTGGGGGGTGGGGATGGAGGAAGGTCCAAAAATGTGGCCCTGGTTTCCCTGAGACCCTCATGCCACATCTTAGCACTGCCGGCTCATTCCTATTCCCTGGTTCTCTGGTGGCTTCTGGAGCTGTAAGGACTCCCAGCTCCCAGGGAGGGTATTTTTAACTTTTCCTTCTAGAATGCTGGCCAATGGGGCAGCCAGATGGGCCATTTGAAGACACTGGGGAGTAAAATAACTTGCCAAGGCTGACCCTCATGTCACTTCTCTGAGCCTCAGTTTCCTCCTCTGTAAGCTGGGGTGCTGAGAGCTCTCTTGTAGAGCTGTCGCAAGCAGGAGGGAGTTAAGCGGAGAAGCCGTCAGCCGGACCTGGGTCTGCTTCCCCAGTGTTGTTGCCTCACAAAGGGCTTTAACGCGTAACTGGCCATGGAATTTGGTCTCTGGAGACAGACTTGAGTAGAAGACAAGGTGGCTGGATGAACCCACCGGAGGGGGTCTGGGTCAGCCCCAGACCTCCCCCGCCACCCTTCGCCTCAGACCTGGTTCCTGAGGCTTCTTAGGGGTTGGGGAAGTAGAAGAAAGAAAGTAGTAAAAGCATTCTTTGTGTGTTGGTGGGAGGGACGCACACACCATCTGGGCCCATGTGAATGTCTACGCAGTCGCCTGTGTGCCAGAGGGGTGAGGTGACTTCTCTCACGGGTGTGATGTGTACTTGTGTACATGTGTATGTGTGTATGTGGGCAGTCCTGCCCTCTCTGCCTTTGGGGTCACCCTGCACCTTGAATGTGGCCCTCTCCTTGTATCCTCAGTAAATTCATTTTCACCCAGTACTATCTGATGGGACAGCAGGATTCTGGGACCCGTGAGACTAGCTGCCATGCTGGGCCTCAGTTTCCCCATCTGTCACCCAAGGGAGGCTGAACCAGAGAGGGCAAAGTGCCTCTCTAATTTGCATAGTCTAGGATTCTCATGGGCCTCCTCACCCCCAGCCCAGGTCTGCAGCTGTCCTTAATATTGCCTGCTGTGCCCTTGTAGTGAACACTACTTGGTTGGCATGGGGGAGTAGGGACATGGGGGGGGTTCCGAGCTCTGTTTAGAGGCTCTGTCCCCTCACTCCACAGAACTGCCTGCTTCTCCGCTCCCATCCTCCCCCACCCTATCCAGAACTGGCTGTCCCAGATAAAGAGGAGGGGCCGTGGGCAAGTGGTCCCATGGGCACCCCAGGATGTTTGGGGATAGACTACAGGTTCTAGAGATTTGTCAGATCGGAGGCAAAACAAGTCAGTTTTCCAGCTGCTATCCCAGAGAGCTGCATCTGCAGGGTGGCTGAGAGCCAAGATTTATGTCATGTCCCCAGAGCTAATTTTTTTTCAGCTGGAAACCAGTTGGCAGTTGAAATGTCTCAAGGGTTGTGAGGACAATTTCCTCTGGGGAAGATGGCTGTGGACCAAGGTGGATGGGGCATAGAACTCCTATAAACCCCAGAAATCTAGAACGGGAGGACCCGTTCCTAGAATATTCCACTCACATGGGGCTCTAGAGCTGCCTCCCCCACCCCCATGTCAGGAGCTGGAATCCCCCAGAGCAGAATAGCAGGGCTCCAGGGCCTTCGCCCTCATCACAGAATCCAGATCAGAGTGACTCTCTAGCACATTTTTAGCAGCTAGGTGTTCTAAAACTTAATCCAGAATTAAGAATGTCTCTCTGGAACAGTTTCTCTGCTAAATGTGCTAGAACCTCATGTATAACTGAGCCACAGAGTATCTTCCTAGACATTTTATCTGTTGTATTCAAGACCTTTATCTAGAAGAAATGTTGTAGATACTCATCTAGAACAAAGAATGGCTCCTGGAAACATTTCACCTGAGGTGTCTGGAACCTCATCCATAATAGAGCCCACAACAAAGGGTGTCTCCTGACGAGTTCACTTTGGGAACATTCTCTATGTGGTGGATTGAGGGTTCCCCTCCCCCAAACCTGCTATCCCTTCGTGCTCCTGCTGGCCTACACCCCTCAGTTGCCTCAGGGTTCTTCCCCCTCTCCAGCTGCAAGCACTGTCAGCCCCCACCCCAACTCCCCACCCCACCCCAACTCCCTCCTTTAATTCCCCTCTTGCCCAGGCTCCGGACCTCGGACCCCACAGGAACTGTACCAACCTTGTCGACCAGATGCTCCCACCTCCCCTCACATCTTCCACGGCCTCCTCCAGCCTTCTCGGAGATCTCCTCTCCCCAGAGAAGCAGCCCACCCCCCACACCCCTTGAGGAACACAGGGCCCAGGTCATGGACCCCAGCCAGTGCCCTGTCTCTGGCAGGTCCGCCAGGAGCAACATGTGGGTGACTCCAGGCAGGGGAGAGGGTGGGGTGCCCCTGGCACCAGACGCGTATGGAGGCCTTCATGAAAGTGGGGCAGCTAATGAGGAGTGTAGCACCAGTTGATTCCCTGGGCCCTGGTTCAGGGGAGTTTAGGAAATGGGCCACAGGGCTGAAAACAGGGCCTAGGGCTGGGGCCTCCACAAGGCTGTCCGCTCCCCTGAAAGAACCCAATGGTGGGCCACTCTGCCCTTGGACCAACAGATCCACACCCCTTTAGCTGGGTGGCCCTGAAATTCCGGGCTCAACACTGTGATTGATGTGGGGTCAGCCAAGCCTGTCCCTTTTTGTGGGGGAGACTGTGGCCTACACCGTGGTCTCGTACTCCAGCAGCTCCTGGGAGACCCCCACGCTCCGGTACTGCAGCCGAGGAGTGGCAGGAGAGGCGTACTCCAGCGCCAGAATGGTCTTCCGGAGCCGGCGGTCGATGAAATGAGCATCCCAGGCAGGGTACTTCTTCCGGGGCAGGTCAATCCGAATGACAGGCCCTTCTGTCCGCAAAGGGCGAGCCACTGGTGTGGGAGGCAAGCCAGGGCGCACCTGGAAGACAGGTGGCGTGGGGGTCCCTGCACGCTCGCCCCCCACTGAGGCCCCATCCCTCTCAGCGCCTGTAGTCCTTGGCAGGGATCTTGGGGGACTTGTGACAGCGTCGGCTGGTGGGCCACAGGGTCCTGGGGACTCCGGGCAGATGCAGCCAGGCGCCTGGGGACCCAGCATGGGCCCGTTGGGGTGCAGGAGGCAATAGTAGACACACATGAAGAAGATGCCCAGCGCGAAGCTGGAGGCCACCACACAGACCAGGATGAGCGAGCGGAAGTCAGGGGAGAAGTTGCGGCTGGAGTACCAGAAGCCAGTGAGCACGGCATTCTCAAGCAGGACGATGCAGTAGTAGAGGGCCATGCGGCGGCGGCTGCGGCCCTCCTTGACGTTGAACCAGCAGAAGATGTAGATGATGCCCACCACCATGTTGTAGATGATCTCCTCCCACTTGGACATGCAGAAGTCCGTCTCGCCCTGGATGACCCAGAAGGTCATGACGCACCAGTGGGCCACGATGAAGATGCCAAAGTAGAGCTTGTAGACGCTGGCAAAGAGCGCGAAGGCCAGGCTGCGAGCCGCGATAGTGAACAAATGCCAGAGCACCTGGGCCACGGCGCCCTTGTAGGACAGCGGCCGCTTGTCGTCCCGTGAGTCCCGCAGCACCTTCTGGTAGGAGGCCAGCGTCCAGGCCAGGGACACGAGTGAGGCAGAGGTGGACAGGGCTGCAGAGACAGGGTGAGGGTGGGGTGGGCGGGGTTAGGGGTGGGTCCGGGTCCGGGTCTGGGGAGAGGGGGACGGTTGTGGGTCAGGAGCTGGGTCCTGAGGAGGTGTGAGGGAAGGGTCTATAAATCAGGAGGGCTGTGGGGAGGGTCTGGGTGGGCGGTCTTCCAGAGCGATGATGGGAGCAGGGAGCGCAGATGGGGCTGGGTACTTCTGTAGGAGCGGGAACATAAAGGAAGAGGGAAGGTGGGTGACTTTGGTCTTCATAAGGGTCGGGGCCAGGTCTCTAGACTAGGGATGTCAGGGTTCAGGGGTCTTGGTGGGAGGGTGGGAAATTAGGGTCCAGGATTCTGGGAGTGAAAAAGAAGGTGAAGAGTTGGGGGTGGGGTCATGATTAGGGCATGGAGGAGCCAGGAGGGGACTGTTAGTAGCTATAGGCCACCAGGGTGAAGCTGGGGTGTGGAGAGGGGCATCCAAGCTGAGCACAGCTGAGGGCATGGGAAGACATCTGCTGTGGGAAGTTCTGATTGGGGCCCAGTATCCTGGGCAAGGGGTCCTGGGGGGCCTGAGAGGTGGTGATAGAATCTTCTGGGTCATTGAAGGTGGGATGGACAGTGTCTGGGTGGGAGGAGCTTGGGGGACTCCCAGGATGTGGTGTTTCTCTGACAAGGAAGGGGTTGGCCCGGTCTGTCAGAGTTAGGGGAGGGCCAAGGTTGGGGGACCAGGACTAAGCCTGGGAGGAGTCCCTCCCCATGGAGTAAAGACCAGTGAGAGGGTAGATAAACAGGCTCTCTGGAGACTGAGGGTGACTGAGCAGGTCTGTGAGTCAGGGGTGCCCCCGGGGGGATGCAATCTGGGACCAGGACACTTTGGGGAATGAAGGGCCGAGCCTGAGGTGTGGTGATGGTGTCAAGGGCCTCTTTGGACTTAGCAGAAATGGGGTCTGCTCTGCCCTGGCAAGGGGGAAGGGAGGAGGGTGAGAGCGGGGAGCACCCAGGGGTCCCAAAGGGAGGCAAGGAGGTGGAGGGACCAGCGCCCCCCCTCCATCCCCCCGGACAGGAGGGTAAGTGGGCCGCTGGAGGGGACATGGGGGTCTCCAGAGGCCTGGAGGGTGGTGAGAGTAGGGGGCGCTCCAAATCCCGGACAGCGAGTGGGCCGGAGTGGGGGTGGTAGGAAGGCGGGGCCCCCCTGCAGCGGACTGCGGTGAGGAGCGAGCCCCCGGGGCGAGGGCGGGGGAGGGCGGAGCTCACCGGGCAGCAGGTCGGGCTCGGCGCCGCGCTGCACCAGGAGGCTGAGCTGCAGCACGAGCTGCGGCGCGCTGCGCAGGAAGGTCTCCAGCAGGCGCAGCATGCTCACGTCCGCGCTCTCGAACAGCATCCGCCAGTAGAAGTGGCGCCGCAGCCGCTCCCCGCGCCAGCGGCTCTGCAGCCCCAGGTACAGGGCGCGCAGGTACCTGCGGGAGGGACGCCGTGCTCAGGCCCCCGCGCGCCCGTCCCCCTAGCGGCTGTGGGGGCGCCCCCAGACCGCAGGCGAGCGCCGGGGGCGGGTGCGCAGTGTGTCTTTGCTCACGGCGCCGGGCAGAGCCCGTGTCCTCGGCTGTAAAATGGGCATATCGCAACGATCGCCTCCGGGGCTGTCGTCGGGGAACTCTGAATGGGCTCATTAGCCTAAAGCACTGGCACAAAGTCAGCCCTGAATTCAGCATACCGCCATTCTTGCTCTGGGGCCCGCTTTCTTTGCAGGATTCCTGACACCTTACAGTGCACTGAGGTTCCGCTAGCCCCGCTGTTGTCCTCACTTTATAGATGAGGAAACTTGAGACCCAGAGAGGTATGCCACCTGTGCAAGGTCACCCAACGAGGAAGGAGTGGAACCAGGATTCCAACCCAGGCAGCCTGGTTCCTTCAGGAACCGGCCCACTCGCTGTCCGGGATTTGGAGCCCCGCCTACTCTCACCACCCTCCAGGCCTCTGGAGACCCCCATGTCCCCTCCAGCGGCCCACTTACCCAACCCCCAGCTTCCTGGCCTGTTCCCCAACCCCACTCCAGCCCCACCCCTGGTAACTCCTGCTTTTCTTCCAAGGCTCAGCTTTTAAACAGTGACCTTTTCCAGGAAGCCTCTGCTGACCACTTTCCACCTGGGGTAAGGACCTCTCCAGACAGGCTTCTGTCTAACCCACAGTGGGCTGGGACTGCCTACTTATGCATCCATCTCCCCCAGACTGAACTCCGTGAGGATGACTAGGTCAGCTCGCGAACTGCTGTTCCCTCGGTTCTTAGCACGCGGTAGCTGCTCAATCCCTGTTGCTCAGAGTGAATGCAGCCAGGACTGCAAGTTTGTTTGAATTGAATGGAGCCCTGGTCACCCAGTAGGGGGTATGGAAGGGATTCTGAAGTCCTGAGTTCAAGTGCTGACTTCACTTCTAATTTACTGTGTGCTCTTGAGCCAGACCCTCTTTGAGCCCTAGTGAATCCCTCTCGAAGTGGCTGTGAGGATGAAATGGATTTGAAAATGCTCTGCACCTATAAAGTGCAGTGCCCGTGTAGGATGAGAAGGGGCCTGCCACCCAGAACTCCTCTCTGCCCTGGGTCTTTGCCCAGCAGCTCTGCCCCGGCCTGTTGCAGCCATAGAGCCCCCCCAACACCCGAATTCTCTGATTCATGGGGGCAGGCACACCCTTTGCTGAAACCAGAGAGTACTCCTCTAGAAGTTATCTCCTCAGAAATCGGGGAAGAAAATCCCAACACAGATTCAGTGATCCTATTACTTGAAGCTGAGATTGGAGAACCAGGTATTTGGGGGGGGTCTACTCCCAGATGTGAGGTGCTGGCATTTTTAAGATGTTGTTTGGGAACCTGGGGACCAACTGTATTCAACTGTGCGTTGCCAGCCCAAGAGAGGAATCACAGTACTCCCTGGAATTTGGGATCAGCTGATACCCAGAGTTTCCCGGGATGAGTATCCCAGTCTTAGGAATGGTGTGGTCCTCCATGGGACTCAGTTTCTCTATCTGCCAACAAGAAGGATGGGCTTAATGACTCTGGAGATCCTTTTAGAGCTAACGTTCTGGGACTCTCCTCCCCAAAACATGGCTAGAAACATCCCATTCAGGGTCCTCCTCCCCATCCCTGGGTCTTCCCAGCACCAATCAATGGTGTAGACACACCTTCAACATGACACCGTGTGGGACCAGCAGCTGGGAAGGGGAAGAGGGCTGCTCCCTCAGAAGCAGAATCAACAAAAGCAAAGGCCCCTCAGTCTAACTCTCCCATCCAGTGCTAGAATTCCTTCGGCAAATCCCAACCCCGTGTGTTTCCACCTTCTGCTTGCATGCTCCCCAGGATGGGGAGTCCCTACCCCCTGAGGCAGGGCCTTTGCCTTCTGAGCACCTCCAAAATTGGACTGTGTTTCTTCCGATGCACAGAAATTTGTTCCCCTGTACTTTCCATTCTCTGGGCCCCTGACTTCCCCCCACATAAGGATCCCTGCAGCATATATTCATGTACCAAATATATTTTGATCACTTGTTATGTGCCAGGCCCTGTGCCCTTAAGTATCTCAGAGTTCCGTGGGACAGAGACAAGATAAGATCTGAAATAAATGCTCTAAGATGCTGTGGAACCCAGAGAAGAGACGGCTAACTTTAGCTGGAGTGGGGAGGAGATCAGGGAAGACTGCCCAGAGGAAGAGACATTTGATCTCAGCTTTAAAGCTTGGGTAGAATTAGAAGGCCCGCAGGAGGCAGAAGGGCCTTCCAGGCAGAAGAACCAGGTGAGGCCGAGGCAGAAAGGCACGAGAGGGCCCGGCCTTTTAGGGGAACGGCCAGTGGTTTGCTGGGCCTGGAGGGGTGGCTTTTCACAGGAAGGGGCATAGGAAGACTAGAATTGTGAAGGGCATCAAATTCCAGACTGAAGAGTTCATACTTTATTTTAAATCTGAATTCTATCCCACAGTCAGGGGGATGTGATCAGCTTGCTGGCTGAGAAAGCTCGCTCTGGAGACTGGCTTGGAGGAAAGCCAGGAGAGGCTGGGGTTTGGTCCAGGCCTGAGCTGACAGGCTGAGCTAAGGCAGGGCACCGAGGAGGCGCAGAGAGCAGAGGTGGAGATGGCCAGGGGTGGGGTGCTATGGGAGAGAGAGCAGGACGGCCTGTAGGGCTTCTGGAGAGCCCAGAACACAGACCACTTTTCCCAGCCTCCACCTTCCTCCCCAGACCTATTCCCTTCTCCATTCCTGTGGCTCTAGCTTTGAACAGAAAGGAGAGACCAGCTGGTCCAACGTGAAGGGGCCTGGGGAGTTGGGGGGAGGGCGACACCCTGGAAGTTTCTCTCAGGCTGGAGGACCATCTGTTTCCTGGCCCGGGTCAGCATGAGGGAGGCCCTGGCCCAGCCAGCATCCATCACCACCTGACAGGCTGCCTGCCCACCTCCCCGCCCACTCCTGCCCCCTCCTCTGCCACCTCCCAAGGCCCCTCGCCGCAGATAACCACAGACAAAGGGCTCACCCAGCCCAGGGCTGCTGTGGGCCGAGTAGGGAAGGGGAGGGGAAGAAAGGAGGCCTCTGAATCCCAAAAACGTGGCATTGGGCAGTGTGGAAAGACTACGGCACAGTCTGGGGATGAGAGGACCTGGGTTCAACCTCACTCTGCCTCTTTTGGCAACAGGACCCAAAACCGTGACTTTCCTTCCAGCCGGCACTAAATGCTCATTGCCAAGGGCCTGCGAGGTTTTCGCGGGCCTAGGAAAATGTTGGAGGCCTGGAAAAAAAAATTGGCTCTAAAAGCACAGGGAAAAACTGCAGAATCAAAATTAATAAATGTTTAATTAAATATCTGCAAAACAGAACATGATATCAGCCAGTCGACTGCAATTTGGCTTTTATCTGGTTCTATATAATTTACATATGGTGTTTGATGTGGCTGCATTTTAATATGCTTGGTAGATGTGGGGCCCACAAAGGTTTTAAAACAGCCCTGCCCAGGACATGTAACCTAATTTCCCTGTGCCTCAGTTTTACCTTCTTTAAGAAGGGGCCAGCACTCACCATCCTGCCTGTGTCACAGCCCCTGCGGTGAGGATCAGAAAGGCAAGATGGCAAAATGCTGGGCTTGTGGATTTGCTTCCCAGCCCTGACCTGGATGCTGTGTGGCCTTGGGTGGTCTCTTTGCCTCTCTGTGCCTCATTTTCCTCTTTATTGTGAGCATTGAATGAGGTGATGGGTTTGAAAATAATTTGTACACTAAGAGGGGTGTGCACATAGAGAGAGGGAACACATGCTAGGCGGAGGCCTCTAGCTCCTCCTGATCACCAAGCAGCCTCTCTTGAAACCTCCTCCAGGAAGCCCACCCTATTCCACTCTAGTTGAAGGGAATTTGGAAGAAGTTGATTTTCACCACAAATGGGACCAATACCACCCACAGAGAGGGATGTCTCATCTCAGAGAAGGGAATCCCACTTGGGGGTGGGGGGATGGTGCATCTGGTCTCTAACAAAAGGCATCCCCAGTCCATCCATTCTCTCCACCCTGGTCCAGACCACCATCATCTTTTACCTTCTCGATGGGCTCCCTGTATCCACTCCTGCCCCCATCTAGTCCATTCTCCACGTGGCAACAGGCGGGATACTTTAAAAACCAGTCAGATCGTGTCATTCCCCTTCTCAAAACCTTCCAAGGGCCTCCCATCACACTTGGAATAAAGTCCAAGGGTTTTCCCTTGACTTGCAGGCCCTAAACCATCCGGCCCTGCTTGTTTCCTCGTCTCGAACCACTGCTTTATGTGTTGTCGGCACTCCAGCTGCCCTGGAGGTTCCTCGAACCCAGCCTAACGTTCCTGACTCAGGACCTTTGCACTTGCTACTTGCTCCGCCTGGAACACCCCTCCCCCAACACCCTCCTGAGGCTAGTTCCTCAACGGCTCCCACGTCACCTTCTCAGAGCGGCCCCCCGGGTCACCCATCCCATGTTGCCCTCCGCCCTCACCAAACCACGCTCATCTGTCACACTGCCCTGTAGGATCTTCTTCGGAACATACTCTATCAAACACTCTTATTAATGTACACATTGATTTTCTGTTTTACCACTGCAGCTCTATGAGGGGAGGGACTCGGTCTGCCTTGGTCACCCCTGTCTCCTCAGCATCTGTATGTGTAGTAGGCATTCAATAAATATTTGTTGAATGAATTAAAGGTGAGAGAGTGTTTGCCTGTGTCTGTCTCCTGACCTTGGAGGCCCCGGGGCTCCTCTGCCTGAGTTTGCTTACTGCCAGGACACCTCGTGGGCAACTTCTGTCCTCACTGACTCATTTCTGGCCTTCCTCCTCCCGGAAGGTTTCCCTGATACTTCTTCGCCTGGTTGGGCCCCCCACAACACCGACTTCAACTGCCCGAGGCCAGTGTGAACCAGACCTAACAGGTTTATCACCACCCACTTTACAGTGTGGGAACAGATGCTCAGGGGCCTATTTTGGATCTAATTTGCTGATTGCCTGTCTTGTGCTCAGAGAAGCATGTCCAGGAGGAAATTGGAAGAGCAGATAAGTGTGTATTGTTGAAGGTGAGGTTGGGGGCAAAAAACACACAACCCTAGGGAAGAGAGAAGGCAGCAGGTAGCATGTGAAATCTCTTACTCAGGCATCCAAAAAGCTCTCTCTTCTGGACCCCATTGCCTCTGAGAGCAGGCAGCAGGGTCAAGAAATGGATGGGGCTCATTCCCTGCTTCTTGGGTCTGGCTGTCTTTGTGACCCAGGAACCTCCCATTGTCCCCCTGACCTCGGGGGCTCCTCTCTAATGGGTAGAAGGAAGGAGGAAGGAGGAAGGAGGAAAGGATCTCATGTCCCTGAGAAAGCCAGGAAGCTTCTGGGCCAGTGTCAGGGTTGCCCTGTCTTTCTCCTGGTTTTGGTTCTTGTGTCGGCTGGAGTCTCCAGGACTAGTCAGGATTTCTGATCCATGCAGATGGCCAGCTTGGACCGGTCCTTTTGGGTGCCCTCACATCCTGGGTCTGGGTCACTATCTCTGTCTGTCACTCAGATCAGCCTGTTGTTGTGTCTGTCCCTTGAATGTGAGGTTAGCCTATTTATTTATCTGTCTGTCAATCTATCTGTCCGTCTTGCCCTGGACCCTGGGTCAGTTCACCTGTCTGTCCCTTGGACGATGGGTCATGTTGTCTCTCAAATACTATGTCCATCTGTTAGTCAGACCGACCCTAGGGTCCTGGGTCAGCCTGTCTGTCTGTCTGTCTGCTCTTCGAGGCTGGGAACATCAATCTGTCTGTCCATTGGATGTCAGGATAGCTTTATCTGTCCCTTTGGATACTGGGCTTGCTTTTCTGTCTGTCTGTCTGTCTCTGGAATTCTAGGTATGCCTATTGGTCCGTCTGTCTGTCTTTCAGTTTCTCGGCTGCTTGGTCCATCTGGTGGTCTGCTGCTCAGCTCGAGGCTCGGCATGGCTGCTGGCTTCCCTGCCATCCTCCCTTGCCTGCTCCTCTCCCGACTCTGGGTCTCTTTCTGTTTGTCTGCGTCTCTCACATCCTCAGCTCCTCCATCTGTCGGTCTCGGCGTTTCTGAGTGTGTGTTCTCGCCCCTTTCCACTCCCCCTCATGGCTCTGGGCCAAAAACACAGCAGCTTCCAGCAGCTCCCCCACTCCGGCTCCATCCAGGAACCACCCCCCTGCACGGCGAGCTCTCCTGTCTCCCACACGGGCCAGGCCTGCAGACTCTGGAAGCTGAGCAGGTGGCACGGGGCAGGAACCCCACAGGGGATGAGCCCCTGACTGTTCTGTGGGCTTGTAGGGGGACAGTGTGCGAGTGTGAATAATAATAATAGCTCACATTTATTGAGCGCCAACTGTACGCTAAGCCTTGTTATACGGATTGTCCATTCCTCACAGCCAATCTTTGAGGTGGGCACTATTACTATCCTCATTTTACAGATGAAGAAACTGAGGGCCGGAAAGGGAGTGGGGCTTGTATAAAGTCCCACAGCAAGTTAGCTGCCGGACCTAGGACTCAGACTTGGCTCTCCATGGGCCCCTGCCTCGGAGAAGATGGTTCGGTTCCCTGGAAGGTGGGCGGCATGGCTGCCAGGGAAGACCCATGTTGGACGGGGTGGAGGCACGGGTTCAGAGGAAACAAGAGGAGGGGTGACCGTACTCACTGGAGTTAGGGGACCCAGGCTCAACCC